TCCTTCTCGATTGTCATCCTGGAACCCAAATTTCCTGCGTTCCAGAGACGACGGATTCTGGTGAGTGTCCATAGTCATATTTTACCAAGCAAACCCAAAAGTACAGATACATTATATAAAAATTATATAGAACTTGTTCCGCCGTGCCCACTATGGTCGTGTTTTGTGGAAGCTACATTAGAGTATTGCCGCGTTGTGTTTGATCTTTTCGATGTTAACAACAACGTACATCCGGTAAGTATTTTATTCATTATAAAGTCGCTTTTATGCTAAACGCAATTTTTTGTAATGCCAAGTGTTGGTCAGTTAGGTATCCGTCCACGTCGCTGGCGTCCCACTAGAACGGAGCATACTTAATAATTGGAATGAACAAAATCTAAAGCAGGTATAAAATTCGATTTCTATGCTTTTTCCTCATCGATTTATTATTAGAGAAAAAGCTTGAATCTTTTCTCTAGATTGCCGAAAACTTTGCCTTCATATCACCACATTCGGTTTCACCTTCGCCCGTACGAATGTTAAACGCGTTGGAAAACTCGTTAAGAGCATTCGATCAGTCTAAAACTGAAAAACCGTTCAATGCGAGAGTAGTGTTGATTCTAATGGCAAAGGGAAATGAAAAGCAATTTAGGTATTGTTAAACCTCTGTCGTTGGTCTTAATTCATTCCTTAAATTTGTTTTATTCATTTGCAACATTGTACGTTCGCTTTCAAGTTACCAGGAAACCGAGGATCAAAAAGAAAGCGACCTTCGTAACATGATACGTGATGTTGTTACACGGCGCGAGTCTCGAACAAAAGACAATCCTTCGTACGCGTTTCCTATACCTATGATTTTCTTACGTGTAATTGCACTCTAAATGAAAACTAAAAACTAAAAAAAGCATTCCTATTAGTAAACTAGTGAAGTGTCACTTTGACATCTTACGCGTATTGCCATCGTGCGATTCAATACCTCAAGATGTACCATACTCGAAGGTAAGCACGATAAATCTAGGCAAAAGCATTATATACGTAAAATGTTATTTAGGGAGTTTGTTATGTTTTAACAATTCTTTCTGTAGATACCAATTCCGAATTCATCGATCGAGTTTTCGGTGGGTGTGTATAATATACCCTCCCGGCGAAAGTATCTCACCCTTTCCATGCTTCATCTGGTCCAGCTGCACCGCCAATTACATACTTTAAGATTATTGGAAGTTCCTATGAAGGTTTATTTCTTATTTTCCCTTCTTAATTATGATTTTTGCTTATACTTAATTTAATTATTTTTTTTCTCAAGAGAAGCGACAATACAAAGACTACTTTTGAAATCGAATTATTATACCCAGCAGATAATCACTTGCCCCATAGCATTGCTAGGTCATCTGATGGTGAACCAAAACCACGCATATTTGAGCCAGATCATCTGAAGGATCGACAAACTGTGGTCAAATGGGTTAAAGCGAAACTTCATGGATTTGGTAAGTGGACAATTGATGACACGGATTATAGTTTTTTATTTTAATATTTTAATTTTCTCTTGATTTCAAAACAGACGAGGCCGTTACTCGATGCACTCATCTGGTTACACCGATTGACGTAAGGCGCACTTAATTAAATTTATCCACGCGTTTTAAAAATATTTGATACATTTGTGAGTCAATTTTCACAAATTTAATATAGATCGCTACACCAACTCGCGTATTAATAACAAGTTTGGTGAAAGGTAACAGATATTCACAGTTGTTAGGTTAGGTTACTCGACGGAAAATAATAAATATTTTTTTTACATAATAAATAGGTGCAATATATGCTCTTTGTGATCCTTCCACCGGCTCAAATGCTCGCGATGAAAATACTAGTCATGGAAAAACACCTTTATCACATATATTATTTTACCGAGAAGGTATGCTTTCTAATTATTATCATCTGTTACTAGATCAATCTAATCAATTTTCTAAATAGGCGCTTTATATGTACACTGCCAACACGTTAATAACGGGCAAAACAAGCACCTTTTTGACGCCACGAATTATGAAGTTCCTAATGAGTTTGTGATCCCTTATAAAGGCGACTTGTCCCCTTATCTTTCGGTAGTTCTCTTTGCGATTATATATTTGTATAATGCCCTATATTGTTACCTCTCGTATGAACAAAAAAATTACGTTCGTAGATTTTTGAGAAGCATGTTGTCAGACCAAATCTCAATCGAAGAAACCAAACAACTAAGTTTATCAAGATGCCAGAACTAACTTCTAATGGTAGTATTTTAACCACCCAAAGCTTAGATATTGAAACGCGCTGGGTTAAATCCGTGCTAAACACGAAGAGTGACACTATAGTAAAATTACAGAGCAACCTTTCTCCAGGGGTAACTTTTTTCTCCGTGATTCTAATTTAATATAAATTATTCTTTCTTTTCTTTAATCACTTATGTATTGCGTTTTCTAAATCAGACACCTGTATACGATATAATTTCTCAATTGAAAAGCTTGTTATGTACCGAGAGACCACCTGATGATTATTTAAAAACAGCCAATGACGTAAGCTTTAGGTGTGCAAAATTGACACATTAAGATTAAATTTTGACACTATTTTTAATGACAGATGTTGGACCGCTTGTTTGCTATGGGAAGAGGCTCCGACACATTCTTAAAGTATCAAATTTTCCTTGAAATTCGATACACACATTTGACAACATATTTAGGAATTATTTTTTATATATAAAAAAAAAGTCAAAAAAATGCGGTAGCACTACTGAAACAAGCTCCCACGGTTGCTGAAGCTTTTCGGTCCATAACTACTCAACATGCAGATGTAAGTAATTATTATTATTTAGTTGCTGGGTCATGTATCTCCTATCTAAATTTTACATTGATAACAGCTGTGCGAACTTTTTAATGGACGCATAAAACCTGATGGGACCGAAAATAAACATCCGAAATCGACAATACAATCGGATCCGGCTCCGTCGTCAATTGCTGATCCTATGATCACTGTTAAAGATGAAAATAATGTAGCATGGCAACAACTTGATAATTATTCTTCAATGACATATAGGGAAAGACAGGACTTCTTAGATAGCGCAGATTCCTCCTCGTCTTCTCAGCAAGTACCTACCAGAAATCGTTCTCTTTACCGCGGCAGAGGTGGTCTTATTGGACGCCGTCACGATGATAAACAATATAATCGTAGTTCCCCGACATCGTATTTACAATACAAACTTACCGATAAAAGAACTATTAAAAAGGAACAGGAAAGATATATGCAACGTTTAGGTGACTCGAGATCACTCCTTTTTCAATACTGGATGGGCAAAAAGAAGAATCGAGAATCCAAGGTTTTACAACGAAAAGACTTTGATGGAAGACTGCCTCCAAACGAACAGGATGATTAAAATCTAGAGATTTGGAGATTTCCGAAATCATTGATAGTTATTAGGAAGCTACCTTTACCTCTATATTACAAATTTTACGTTAATAGTACAAATTTTATGTACTATGACTATATAGAATAAAATCATGATATGTACAATAACTTAACGAAATAATAAAAACGTTAATTTTTTCGTATGTTTAATAAAACTTCATGAGGAATTAATAAAATTTGAAATGAAACAATTTTTATTGGCATTTAACAATTAATTATTACTTATAAAATAAGAAAATAATATGTATAATTAAGATTTTATTATTTGTATAATATGTCATAATTATAAAAAATATTATCAAAACCATAAAAGAATCTTAAAAATTATATTTAAAAAAAAATTATATATGTCAAATCCTTTTTATGACTTGAAAACCAACTTGTATAAAGTAACTGCAGTATCTTTATGTAATAATTCAACACTTCTGCCTTTTTATCAACTTTATTTGCCATATATTAAACTATTTTTGAAAAATATACATATCAATCTAATTATTACTTGAAAATCAATCTGTATAAAATAATATAGGACCTTTTTATATGGTTAGGTATTTAAATTATTTATAGATAGTTAAATATTATTCAAGTTTTTAATATAGATTTTAAAATGTATTTTATTATATTTTTTGAATAATACTAAAAAAAATATAAATGAGTAAATTAATTTTTGAGTTTTATATTAAGCTTTTCTTGACAAAAAATATATATATACCATTCTGTAAAAATTATAATTTTGCTAAAATTATAATAAAAATAAAAAAATATGTAATAATTATTTTGTTTTTTTAATATACTGTGTATTGCAAAACTTTTTGGAATTTTTTATCTCTGTTATTCAAAAACTACTATATATATATTAATAAAAAATATATTAAAATAAAGTTTAAAACCTAAGAATTACAATAATATAAAT